TTATTACTTCCTACAGAGATGAGTTGTTATCTGTTTACTGTGTGAACATCAATTACTCCATCATGGTCAGAAATTAAATTATATTTTCACATTCTCAATACTCATCTATCAAATATTAAGTATATAACATATTTTAAAACCTTAATTTTACAAGATAGATGTAACACCATGGTCTAGTCAGCTTTCCATTACTATAATACAACAAGTAATACATTTGACTTTAAAAGTCACTATATATTTTTTTTCACTAAAGAGTTGTAGGAAATAGTTTATCTATACTAACTCCCATGATTAATTTTATATATGCTAAAATGATATAATAAATCTAGTGATACAAGAAAATTATTCAATCTAAGAAATTTTATCTAGTGCATAAACTCACATGTATCATGGAAACAAATGCTTCTGATACATCATGTTTTTCTGCAATATAATTGAAAGCTCGCCAAAGAGCAACTCCAGCATCTTTTGTTCCATCAACTTCATTATCCGTATTAAGAATGAACACAAAACCAATTCTGGGAAAAGGTGAATAAACAATGTTACAACTATCTTTTGAAACACAATTAATTGCTACTTTAAAATATTATACTATAACATCTAGGTAGAAGGAATGTATAGCTAAGAAAAGAACAGATATTATTTTAATAGTTTGATTTTAATTCCTATTCACCAAAATCCTCGTAGCTATTACAATCCTGCAAAATGTCAGACACACTCTGGTGGTCCTAATGAGTTTACAGAGTGATCAGATTATTCCCTCAGAAAGTTAACAGATATGTAAGAATATTGGTCAGCTTTGACTAATAAGAGTTCACATAAAGGTATATGATACTTCACAACCCAAGTTATGTTGTTAGGCATGAGATCTGTTGCTTTGAATTTTACATTAACACTCTCTGAAACACAATATAAGCAGCACTAAATTTAATTTAGCTGACAGTTTAATAATATAAATTTACAATTACCTAAGAGGAATTTCATTATAATAGAAAAGTTCCGCCAAACTTATAAAATCCAAGGTATATTCTTGAGCAGGATCAATAAACAGAACCTAGAAGAATGAACACTATAACACTTCAGAATTTTCATGAAATTCAAATTTAATCTAATTTCTGTAATTTAAAGCATGAAATACAAGGTATAAATCTTTAAAAATTCCTAGCAAGTCTAAATAATTTTAAGGCACAAGAAATTCATAATTTATAAAATATAATTACACATGGAATTTTAAAAAGATTAATGATCTTCTTTGTGGATGCACAACATAATATATTTATGTTATACAAAGTGAAACACCTCATTCCAAATGTTGTCTTTTCTGTGAAAATGGTAAAAAAATAAAAAACAGCATAAACGTCACAGTTTCCTGAAGATTATTATAGATTTTATTTACTATGTGAAAAACAAAACAAACAACCCCACCCCAAAGCCTTGTGTTTCTCTACACATTTCAAAATTCCAAAAATGTTGTTTGGATGTTTAGAATTGCAATAAGGAATCAATAAGCATTTGTGAAAAATATGGTATTTATATATTTTCTTGATCAGTAAACTTCAAAATATAGCACAAGGAAAAAATGATGCTGTAACTTTCTTTGATGTAATGTAAAAAATACTGGTATTATAAAACTACATTAAAGCTGAACAATAACCAACAAATAAGTAACATTACTGGCTTCTTAATATCCTTTTAGCCAAGCCATCTCAAGCCTGCTGCATCAGGCAAGTACTTCCTTACAACTTGAGAGGCCTACGTACCAAAAGACAAGTATAACAAAGGAATGTCATCTTTGTAAGAGAAGGGCATAATAATCAAAATGTAAAACTTACCAAATTATGAAAATTACGCCTTATGGAAGGTATTGTTCCATGTAATACTGGCTTCAGAAATTCCCAGCAACTTGTAGGCCAAGTAACATATAAACCATCATTTTCTAAATCATTAATCCACTAGAAAAGAATCCAGAAGTCTGTGAAAGCTATATTAAGGTTAACAGTCAAATCATTTTCAAATCCAAAATTTCTTTACTGTGTTAAATCTCAGCTAAAAACATACACAGATTTTCTGTATTTCTGATTAAATATGAAAGACAGCTGAATATCCTCTATTTAAGGACTACATCACATACATTTTATACTTCCATAGTCTCACGGTAAGTCACCCATTAAAATAATTATTTTCCGTCAAGTGTTTTTCATTTTTCTTATTTTATGTGTATGACTTTTTGCATGCATGTATATAAATGCAGTGTATATGTAATGTTCCATGCACATGGAGGTCAAAAGAGCGCATCAGATCTCCTGGACCTGGAGTTACAGGAACCCTGAGAGAAGCAGGTTAAGAGGAAAGTTCTACTTTTATTTCAATTTTATCCTGGGGAACATTTTCAAACTTGCACCCTAAAGGAAGAGAGCTCAGAAAAGTCATATTGGGATGGAAAATTAAAGTTAAGGATGTCAAACTGCTATGACATTTTTTTTTTTTTTTTGAGGGCATAAGAGGGTCTAAGAAGGAAACTGCAGGGAAGAACACAGTCATAGAAATATCTCTGAATTAATTTTCTGACTCCTAACCTACATATACTCTGATGACTTCCCCCCTCAAAACACACACACACACATACACACATACACACACACACACACACACACACACACACACACACACACACACACAGGGAAAAAGAGATACCATGAAAAAGACTGAGGCCAGAGTTCAGAGCAAAGTTCAGGTGCTAAATACCATGTTCTATCATTGGAGACTCAGGCAGAGCCAGATGCTAAGAGTAAGACAGAAAAATACACAGCCCTACAGAAATAACTGAGTATTCAGCCTTTGAGGTCACAGACCAAACCATAACTTTGCCTTTTGTGAATTTCTGGCTCATATATAACATGCACATATGGAAACACACACACAAAACTGTCATAGGCTGGACATAGTAGTGCATGCCTATAATCCCTGAAATAAGGTAGCTGAGGGAGAATTATGAGGTTAGCCTGAGCTACATAGTGAGGCCCTAAGAAATAAATGACCCAATCTGTCATGAGAAAAGAAAATACTGGAATGCTTTGAGAAATAGGACTTTGAGAAGTTCTGACATCTTCTTTTGTTGCTTGTGATTCTGGTATGAAACTCAAGCCTGACTTTGGTGAGTTGAAGTTTGATTCTTTTTGTATTATTGATTTAGCTTGGTTGCTTTCTGATTGGGTATGAAAAGTTAGTTGGTCTAGGCTTCAGATTTTCTCTTTTGATTTTGTATTGGAGGGACCACATGGATCTAGGCAGGGTACTTGCTCTCCAGGAGAGTGAAGTAGCCCTGGTTAGTTGGGCACACTTCAGTAGCCTCAGAGGAATAGGGCCAAGGTTCAAGGAAAGGAGATAGGAAACAGATATGCTAGTCTCTACTAGCCAGGGTAAGCCCTGGAGAGGTGGGTGGGAAGGATAGGGGATGGTCCCAAAGCAGGGGGATGGGCATGGGAAGTTTGGGCAGCTCAACCCAGGAAGCCAGGTCAGGCACTCCCACAGTCTTAAAAGGACAGGTATGCGAGGGGAGGTGATGGGACAAGGAAGTGCAGGCCCCTACTAGCCATCTGGGAAGTCTGAGCCCTGGGGCAGTGGGAGGGACTGAGAGAGTCCCAAAGCAGGGGGCAAGTTCTGACATTTTCTTTTTTAAAAAATATTTTTATTTATTATGTTTATGTATATGAGTGTATTGCCCGCATGTAGGTAGGTGCACCCATGTTGTGCAATGCCTCCGGAGGTCAGAAACAAGCTTTGGATCCCCTGGAACTGGAGTTAACAGCAGGTTGTTAGACCCCATGTGGGTGCTGGGAGTCGAATATGGGTCCTTCTGCAAGAACAGCCAGTGCTCTTAACCATTGAGCCATCTCTCTCCAGCCTCAAATTCTAACATTTTTAATGGCATCTTGAAGACTACGTTGATGCACTGGGATTCACACATATCAAGGAAAGATACGTTAACGCTGCTCTCACTTCTGACTTATTCTGAAACTCTGTGTAAGCACAAATATGTAAAACTAAACAATATAATCCTAAATAAGCAATGAGTCAATAAAAACCACAAGGGCATTTAAAAGGCCCTTTAAAACTAATAAAATATAGTAAAACTTAGGGAGCAGCAAAAAACAAGGGTTATTTATAGCTACATATACATACATTGAAAACTAAAGAAGCCCCAGCCCTAGCTGAGGATCTACTGGCAACTGATAGCTTCTAGGAGACAGAGAGTCAGTTTTCCTTAAGGTGTGACCCCTGACCAGACTCTAAAGGATAGATGTACACCCAAGAGCATTTGAGGGACAAAGATTAAACTCAATAGACTTTTAAAAAAGAAAAATAAACATAAGACATGAAATTGAGGGTAACTGGGTGGGGATGAAGAGGACAGAGGGGTCTGAATGTGATCAAAATACATTGTATGAATTTTGTAAGAATCAATAAAAATATTTTTAAAAAGATCTCCAATCAATGACCTAGCTTTTCACCTTTAAGAAACTAGTAAAAGCAGGGCTGGAGAGATGTGTCAACAAGTAAGAGCACTCACTGCTCTTACAGAGGACCCGGATTCTAATCCCATCACTCACATGGCAGCTAACAACTGTCCTTAACTCTAGTTCCAGAGGATCTGACACCCACTTCTAACCTCCACGGGCACTGGATGACACAGGTGCACTTACATGCAAGCAATACACTTATACACAAAAATGAAAATAAAAAAAGAAACTAGAAAAAGCAAAGCAGACTAAACTAAAAAGAAAGCAGCAGCAACAATAATAATTAGTATGAAGATAAATGAAGAACAAAATGGTAACTACAAAAGGAACTAAAAACTGGTCAAGAACAAACTTGATAAAAGTCTACATGTATGCTGAGGATCAAAATCAGGTCCTCATGCTTGCATGGAAGTATTCACCAATTGAGCTATCTCCCCAGTCCTTGATTGCTTTACTGAAGGCTTTGTCTTGTTTTACATTGATGCTCTACCCATGAGCTATATCCCTAGCAGTTACTGATGGTCTTTTCTTTACTCTTTATTATGCTTTTTTCCCCCAATGTGTATTTTTTATTGAATTTTTGTGCTACTAATCCCAGCACTTATGAAGTAGAGACAAGTGTATCCCTGGGGCCGCCTGGCCAACCTGTCTAGCCTCTTCGGTGAGCTCCAGATTCAGTGAGAGAACCTATTTCAAAAAAATAAAATGTAAGGAGAAAGAATGCAGAAGACATCCAATGCTGAATTCTCTCTCTCTCTCTCTCTCTAAATGAAAAGAGGCACAGAGACAAATACAAAAAGCAGCAATTAAAATAGTTGAGGGTGGCTTCCTTTGCAAGCAGTAGTCATGAGTGTAAGGTAGGTGAGGTGGAAGACTACTATTCTTTGGAAAACATTGGCTTTTAAAGACTATGTACATGCATTATTAAATTAAGTTTTAAACACACACACACACACACATACACACACACACACACACACACACAAAGTTCACCAGGATTGACAAAACAAAACACAACCAAACCAAACCAAACCAAAAAAGAAAAATAAGAGAGGGAGGCAGAGGGAACACTCAAATGCCAAATCATGAATACACTAGGCAAATTGCTGACTGCACTAAGGAATATAAGAAAATACTCTAAACAAATTTGATAATATGAAATAGAAAAATTATAAGAAATATTCATTAAGAAAACAGAAATAAATTTAAAAAATGAAAAATAGAAAATCTGAACAGATCTTAAAAGAGGCTGAATCAATAAATATCTCCTAACAAAGAAGTCAGGAAGAGATGGCATCATTGGTAAATTCTTCTAAAGACTGAAGGAAAAATAACACCAATTTTCAAACTTAACTAAAAATTAGAGGCTAATAATACCAAAGACAGAAACACTAGTATAAAACACAATAACTCTTGAAAGCAAAGACACAAAATACACAAAATGAATTTCAGTATTTCAATGACTATCAATCATGTCAAGGAGGATTTCTCCCAGAAATGAAAGACTGGGTTAACATATGGAAATCTATGTAAAACATCATATCAATAATGAGGAAAATTATAATCTAAATAAACAAGAAAAAATTGAGAAGATTTAATGCCTTTTTCATGATGAAAACAATCAATAAATATGGAACAGAAAGGAGATTCCTTATCCTGATAAATAACATCTAAAAAATCAAGTCAACACCATATTTAGTGGTGTAAAATTGAAAGCATTAAATTTAATCAAATTAGTACAAAATTTATATGTAGAAATCTAGTCCCAATCTACCTGCCCACCCACCACACATCTCCAGGTTGCCTGGAGTCTGAACCCAAGCAGCAGAAAGTGACCTATAGCTCCAATCCAACTGTCCATGCCCCTAGCAGCCATCCAGCCAACTGTGCTGCTCTGGAATACTGAGGACCAGAAACCCCAAGTAGAGACCATTAGACCAAGGCTGCCTGACTGGACCCCAGCAGCCACTCTATCCATCATGCCACACTAGGACCACGTGGAATCCAATCTAGAACAGTTGAGTAGCCCTAAGACTGAACACCAAGCACCACTCAGCTGGTCCACAACCTGATAAGGTAACAGCAAAGGTCCAAACACCCACTCAACTAAAGTGAGATCAGATATGCATATTAAGAAAAAACACCCATGACATTAACTCCAGATGGTGAGGGCCCATAACAGCAACCAATACAAACAATATAACTGAGACAATATGCATCCTCCAGAAGTTAGCACATCCATGGGACTGTATCCTGATAAAACCAGCTAAGCTAATGCACAAGACAATAATTTCAAGATAGCAATTATAAATATCTTCAAGGAACTCAAGGAGGGCATGAGTAAAAGACTAATGAAGACTGCAAAAACACAAATAGTTGGATGAAATAAATAATTCAAGACATGAAATTAGAATTTAATAAGATACAGACTC